CACCATCCCTGTAGAGCTTAATGATATGATTTAGTGGAGGACTTGTTAGTGTTAGGTCAGAGGTTGGACTAGGTGGTCTTGGAGGTCTCTTCAAACCTAGACAATTCTGTGGTTTTGTGAGATACTGTGAAATACTGTTGTGCCCAGTATGATCCCTTTGTCTGGATGGCAATGCCTCCATTTTTCTCCAACATCAGAAAGAAACTGAACATCTCACAACACTCTTGACTTTTTGTCTCCCCTGTCAGTTCTCTGGCTTCCACCTATTTTTCCTTCTGGCTGTTCCATTCCTACTATGATCATTCCAGTGCATAAAAGGAAGAGTCAGCACAAGACCACTTTTTTTCACTTTAATTTCTGTTTGGGATCTTCTATGACAAAAGCCCTCTGGCTAAAATACATGGTTAATGGAAGGAATTTTTAGTTATGAAAGTATGTGCCTCTGTCACCTTTTCCATGAAACTCTTTAATAGGAGTAGGTAGTATAGGGTATAACCTGGCTAGCATTTGAGCAGCATCAGTTTACTCATGTAAGATGCCACACCATGTCCTAACTGTGTGCGCATGTCTCAGGTCAGAGCTGGTCACTCTCAGGAGGCCGAAGGGAAAAGTGAGCAAACAATTGGCATCTTCATGTGCATTATAAAGGACATGGGAAAACTTTTGTGGGGTGGGTAGCTGGAGAGAAAAGAGGGATATTTAAACCAAGATCCTCTCCATCCCTTTCCAAGCCAATGACTATTCAGAAGAAAGCAGCTTTTAAGGATGCAGCTTGCAGAAGAAGACCAATGAAAGGCGTCATGGCACTGTGAGGCATCTGCCTTTCCCATCATGGCTGCACCCATATTAGAGAGATGCTGTTGTTGCGCTTCAGGAAGGTTCACTCCTTTGTTTCGTGCTGGTATTTTCCAGCTGGCATGAGGGAGAAGCTACTGCTTCTGCTCCTGGAGGAGATGGGAATCAGTAGATCAGGTTGATTGCCTGAACCATGGTCTTAAAGGTCTTTTCCAACCCAGATGATTCCGTGATTCTAAGAGGACAACCTAGGCAGGGTTTGGGGACGTGACATTGTGTTTAACATGGAATCAGCCCACTACTTTTGCTAAACCTTTGCTGGAGACATTGCAGGGTGAAAGAGGTGATAGTTCTTGTTGGGTAGGCCCAAGGTGGGTGTCTCTGTGGTTGGGTTAATCCCTCTAGGATGACCGATGGAGAAACAAGTGACAAACACTAACAAAGGGACCCAAAGTCACCAGGCAGCTCCAGGCACTGGAAAGCAGCCCCAGGCACCCATCTGCTTGTCCATGGGCCCTGTAAGGGACAGCAGATGAGGCTGGGCAGCCTTTGGGATCTGCAGCCCAGCACCAGGCTGGGGCAGCTGAGGCTCTGTGGCTGAGCCAAACCTGTCCAATGGCAGAGCAGCATCCAAGCAAAAGTGCTGGTGGAAAATAACATCAGCAGTCTGGAGCACAGGAAAATTACCTCAGGGTGGTAATCAGTGTGCTGATGATTTCTGGTCTGTGCTGTGTTTCCCAGCTCCCCTGCTGTGGTGCATGGCCCCATGTATCTGCTGAGCACAAAGAACTGGGGACCCACTTGTGTTGGATTTTGTGTTTGTGGAGCCATGGTCAAGATATCCAAATTCACAGTTGTGCAGCCCAGATCCTCCTTGCCTCAAACACCAGCAAGCTCATCCAAGCCACAAAATTCACTAACCACTGTTTCCAAACCCGGCTGTGCCCCAACCTCTGTTTTAGTCCCATGCTGATGCATGCTGCAGGAGCAGTTATTTTGGCTGTCTGAACACTCGCAGAGTCTTGCACACCTTATTGGAGCAGACCTGGGGGCCAAAATGCTGCTTTGTGTAGCACTTTTCTCCAGGAAGACTCAGTGCAGCATGGAAGGATTATGCCTGCCATAATCCCCAGCTTCTTTTGCATCAGTGATCTGAAATAATCCCAGAAGCAGCTTCAGGCTACACTGTTGTAAAATACTGCACCCCATCTCTCTGCCATCGTACAAGCATGCGTAAACTCCATAGCAGTGCTGCACACCAGTGTAAGGTCCCTTGGTAAATACTAGTTATGTTCCTTTGCACAAAATGTCCCCAAATGCATATTCTTGAGGAAATACCAACATATTACAGAGGTCCTAGTTCCAAAATTTGGACAAGCTTTGTGTGATTTTCAAGACATACCCGGTCTTCCAGAAATACTGTGCTTTGCACTGATCAGTGATACCTGAGATGCAGGACACCACCTGTGTCCAGCATGGTGCCATGTGTCTCTCATCTACAAATGATTCTCACTACTGGAAGCTAATATATTTTAATTTCAATCAGGCTTTGGGTCATGGCTTTGTTTCAAAGTTTTTAAAGAGAAAGAAAATATTGTGTCTCATCTTTAGACACAATGAAAGAAACAAAGCAATTAGGAGAAATCCCTTCTGTACTGATGGCAATACACCAAGTGAAGCTGCATTTCTGCTATGAGCAAGTTGTTTCTGAGGAACAGGAAACAGAATTTTATTTAAAAAAAAAGAAAAGAAAAAGTGTTTAAACAGGATAAATTTAAGCTAGAATTTGTACTACTGAAAGATGTTTAAAGAATCTCTTAAAGATAGAAAAGTCAACAGTTGCATAATCTGATAATCTGATCATGGGATAAAATTTAGAAATCATTTTTTATAGAGGAGATAAATGTATTTACTGAAAGATTCTGGAAACAGACTCTCTTGAACAAACAGAAAAACAAGATTAGGCAGAGTATTACTTCAAAAGACAATTTTATAGAAAATGTCTTGAAATGGGGCAGAAGAAGCATATTTAGGAAGAAAACAGTGGGAAAACCATTAAAGCATGAATTATTTGCTGCAAGCAGTGTGGCTTTGCAATGCACAAGGAAACCATAACAAATGCAAATTTATCTTTATAAATAACTTTCATTACATTTTCATTTCTGCTGGCTTACTTTGTTCTTCACAGAAGAAAGGCTTAGGACAGGAAGAAAGCAGCAGAGGACAAAACACAGAGCATCACTGTGTCACAGCATAAATATACATGTATGGTGTGCTCTTGTGCTTTTCACTAGGAGATACTCTGTGAAGCTTCCCTCCAAAGGATGCCACAGACGCTGAAAGTTTACATGGATTCATAAAGCAAGTGAACAAAGACTTGCAACATCCATCACAGAGTAATATATAGTATCACAGCTGACTTGTGAGGGTGGGAGATGGTTATTCTTAACAATTCAGCCTCTATTTTTCCATGTATGTAGGGAGCCTGGAATGAAAAAACTTTTTCTAAGGTATTTGCCCACACAAAGAAATGCTGACATTGTTTAGTTCAGCACAAATGCTCAGAACCTAGCAAGTTGGCTGAGATGAATTTAATACAACTTATCCCAAACCTGTCAAGACATGACCCATTTCTTAATGTAGACAGACTTTACGTTATTTGTTTATGAATTACTGATATTGACAGTAATATTCACTGAAATGTAGACTAAACCCTCTGCCATTTGGCAACTACCAGCATGCATGTATAGATGATGCACTATCAGGGATGATTTCTGTGGCACAGCTTGGTCTGTCACATGTATACACACTGGATTTGAAGAAAGCTCTTTAGTCAGAAAACATGCAACTCAAAATAAATAACTCAATCTTATTACCAAAATATTTCAGAAAAAGCCTAAGACATAGGCACTGTGTACATTCCTTAAGCCCTTTTTCCTTTGTATTTTGTACATTGCATATCAGAATCACAGGACTGTTGGACTGTCTGTCTTGTAATTGCTTTTCAGAATATATTTTTCTCAATTCATCCTCTCTGGCTTTTTAGCTGTTGGGAGGAAACAAACAAACAACAACAACAAAACACATTCAAAATGTGATTAATTGCCATTTTTATTGATTTTTAAAGCCACTAGAACCATAACGCCTCTCAGTAGATGTAGTGTTTTTTTCATCACAGGCCTGTAAGTTCTCTTTGACCCATGCTGCTAGTCTTAAAGGTCCAGGGGTAACAGTATCAGTCCTGAGACAGCAATATTGAGTTTTGTGTCCCTGCTGAAGCCAGGAATAAACTCAATTATGATGGAGTCCAGATTCCCAGTTTTACAAGTCTGTGTGCTTGTAGGGGAATTGCAAGCACTTTAAAGCATACCACACAGTAAAGGCTACACAAAATTCGTTGTGTCTCAGAGGAAACATAGCTGTGACACTAGACTAAATAGAAGTGTCTGAAACACCAGATTCCTTAATTATGCTTCCTATACCTTTCTGTACCTTGTGAATGAAACATGGCTGATGAAAATAAAAGGAAAAAGGGAAAGGGAAAGGGAAAGGGAAAGGGAAAGGGAAAGGGAAAGGGAAAGGGAAAGGGAAAGGGAAAGGGAAAGGGAAAGGGAAAGGGAAAGGGAAAGGGAAAGGGAAAGGGAAAGGGAAAGGGAAAGGGAAAGGGAAAGGGAAAGGGAAGAGGAAGTGCCTACCCTGATGTCAGCCTCAGCAATCAGCCTCCTCTCCTCACTCCCATCACTGCTCTAGTTAAAGGCAGAGTATTTTAGTCTACTACATTTAGGTGGTCCAAATAGTCAAAAATTTCAAAATACTTCAAACATAATGTTAATATTAAAAGACATACCAGCAAAAATGTAGCAAAACTGTAGCCTCAAAACAGCAGCTTTATGGATTCTTCATCATATGGACCATTTCGTAATACAAAATCCCTGTTGCATCAAGACCCGGTAAGAAATCCATATGGTTCCACTCAGGAATTGCCCTGTAGTGAACTAGGTTAGCTATCTGTGGGAGCAGGAGGGCAACGTCATGAGGATCAGCCAGGCAGTCAGCTCCAACATTTTGGTACCTGCTGCTTGCACATCTGCCCATAACCTCAACCTTCTAGGCTCTAATTCTGACAGAATATTGTGGATACAAAATTTAGGACAGGATAGAAAGATTCTGGACTGATATGTATGATTCCCTTCATTATAAAAACAGACAGAGCAAAAAGTTCATCTCTCTGTAAATGATTTGAAATTTGCTATGTAGGTCATCTCAGAATCCCTATGAAAAAATACATTCATTATGGCTATGTGGAATAGTCTGTGCAAAGGACCAACACACCTTGAGACCATAGTCAGAAAAGAATGATAGCTTTTTAAATGGACTTTGAATAAATGCGACTGTGGCCACAGGTGCTAAAGCAAAGTACATTTTAACTTCTGAGCCAGGTGAGGTATAGTGGAAAAGGCTACAAAAGCTGGAAAAAAGAGGGGAAAAAAAGAAAAAAGAAAGAAAAAAAAAGAAAAAAAAAAAAAAAGAAAAAAGAAAAAAAAAAAAGAAAAAAAGAGGCTTACTCTTTCAAGGCATTCAGGTACATGGTTTAGTAAGAACTGCTTTACAGATGTCAAAGATAACAGAGACATCCTACATTGCCATAGGGTCAGTCAACAAGACTACTCCTGCTGAACTTTTGTCTCACTGTCCCAGGGTGGGCTGTGATCCAGTCCAACTGTCATGTATCCCTGTTGCTCAATAGCTGGGTCAAGATGACATTTGCAGACCAATCCTTTCTTGCAGGAAAGTTTGCTGTTAGCATTGCTTCACAAAAGGCTGCCTGGGAACCTTTACTAGTTGGAAAGCAGCAGGCTTAAAACCTTCCTGATCACAGGTCCAAGAGTGGATGCTGAAATGCCATCTGCTCACTCCAAGAGTTAATTATTTTTCTAACTATGTTGGCCAAAACTCCGATCTGGATAGCAACAGGAATTGTTCTGTAATTTCTGTGAGCAATGCAGAGCATGTACCACTTTATTGATGATGGGTTTATATCCATATTCAGTTTCCAGCACAATGAAAAAAAAAAAAAAAAGAAAAAAAAAAAAGAGAGAGAGAGTATGGCATATCTAGTTAAAACTAGAAATGTTATATAGCAGAAAGCTGTTCCGCACCAGCTTACCTATAGTGGTGCCTTGTGAATGACCAATGTAACATAACTGCTTTTGTCCTGTTTTCTGTTCAATAATGTTTATAATTGCTGGTGGGTCATGTTTAGCCATTTCATCAAAGCTGCAGAAGGAAGAGTTGCTATCTTACTTATATGTGGATTACCTACATCCAAATGAAAATCATCAACAAAGCACAAAACCAATGGGGAGGGCAGGACAATCCCACAACTGTCTCCATGCTACTTAGCATGTCCTTTGGTAAACACATGGAAAAATACTGCCTTTGAGATGTATTTTGTGTCCATTCTGCAACTGCTCCCAACATTTTGTGTAAAATACTTGTCTTCCCCTTGCCAATTAAATGTATTATTTTGCAAGAGACAAGAAGGTCCAGTAAGACAATCTTTTCAGGTGTGAGTATGGGAAGTGCAGGCTGATGGAGCAAGGGTCTGACTTCTGGGGGTATTAAAGACATTGAACTGCACATGGTTTTTCACAATTGCTAAAAACTGTGTATTATGCACCTAAAATAAGAGGACACTCTTCAGTTAAGCCTGATGCATTCCTCCCCAAGCTAGAACAGCATCACTTTGTGAGGAAAGTTTTAACAATTCGTGTCCATAAAGAACAGTCCTGTCTGCCTCTGGGCCCTGCACTGGCAATTTAATTCTTGAACCACAGATGCAGTGTGTCCCTGTCTCCCCCTCATTCTAGTCAATTTATCAAGTCTTCAGTAAATACTCCTCAAATTTATGAACCTGTTTGCTTTTGTTATTCCAGACTTCTATTTCTAACAGCTACAGCCTTTTTTTTTTCTGTCTTCTTCGAGATTAACTTAACACTGCTATAGGTGTGACTGTCCCTGTGAATGGCTGGTGAAGAATGTTTTAATTACTGGTGAAGTGTCAATAAGAAAGTTATTTGTGTTTGTATGAAGTCTTTGATGTCTGGGGGTTTCAGAACAACTGATAACAACTAGTGACTGTTATGGGATACTATGAAAACCTCTGGTATCTGGCCAGGTGGCCAAGAGATTAAGAAGAAGAAAAAAAGAAGCTGAAGGATGGCTGGGAGACAAGACCTGCAGAAAATGTGCTATAAACTTGGTACGGTGCCAAAGGAGTACAAAGGGGAAGGACGAGAAAAAAACTTGGAGAGGAAGACTACGAGCCTTCAGCATGAAAGACCCCTAGAGACCCCCAGAGGAGACTGATGCACATGCTCCAGTAGGAGGGACTGGACCCCGGAAGCTAATTATAATAACCTGTTTTTTTTAGAAGTAGTAATGAATATGTATTAGTCTAGGAGCATAAAAATCAGCTGCTTGATGTAACTGGTGTGCGTCCTGGTGGAGCGGAGACTCCCGGTGCACCCAGCGCTGTTTGCTTACCTCTATTCCTTTAATAAATCCTATTTTTTTTATTTAATCCTATTTTGAAGATTGAGCCATTTCTAACAATTTGAAAACAAAAGAAGCCATTTGTATCTTAGTTCCTCGAAGTACCACTGTTTACCTGAAAGCCCAGAATTCCTTTCATTTGGGAGAGAGGACCCGATGTTGCTTGGAACAAGTGTTCCCTCTGCTGTTTCCTATCCAAACATCATAGCCAGCATCTGCAAGAATGAAGCCCAGACTGCTGTTAGGCAAATTGGTAACCCACATCTGCAAATAAACCATGCTGCAGAAATACAACAGGCCTTGGACCTGAAAGACAGGCATCATGACAATATGTGTTTTTTTTTTCTTTCTTTCTTTTTTCCCCTCAACACTGTCTGACAGCATTTGAGACAGCTCGGGAATTCTTTTACTTTTTAAGTGTACAGAAGTTTGCAGTTCTGCTTCCCTTGATTTCAGTAAAACAAGTTCGTTAGGTAGTAGATGCACGAGGTGCACTGTACCTCAAAGTGCTTTGCCCTTTATTCCCCAACGTCCTTTCTCATCTTCTCTGTAGCTAACCTAACACTAGGTAGTTCAACATGTAGAGCTGGGGGATAGTATACAAAGAAACAAAACAAAACAAAACAAAACAGTTTTCTAATTCTCCTTATTTTCTCTAACTCCTAAACAATGCTGGCAGATCTTCTTTGCTCTCAAGGATGTCTCACCAACCTAGAAAGATGTGCTTGTGAGTTCTTTGCTGTCACAATGAATTTCAGAAGGAGGAAGAATAAGTTTTCCTGTCTGGCCTATCTTTACTTTGGACACGTTCCAAGGGCTGGGAGGATGAACACCCAGAGGCAGGGAAGAGAATCAAATCTTTATCTCCCACACTCTGTGGCAGGTCCCTAATTACTATCATAAATATTTATAATATGTGATTACTATTATAAGAGCAATAGATACCATTACTCTCCCTACTCTAGATAAAACCAGCTGGTGCTGCCTTTTCAGAGACATCTCATAGCATGTTCTTTTGTCTCCAAGAGCAAAATTGGGTCAAGTATTTTCAGAGATGCAAGCAGATTGGTACCTATGCTCTGCATCTCAGCAGGCTTTTGGCAGAGCTGCTTTGCCAGTTGCATTAGCAGAACTTGGGTGCCCAGGTAACTTTGTAGGCAAACATGGAGGTGCCTGGAGAGGTGAGATTATAAGAACAGGAGGTTCTGGCTGAATATGAGAAGCCAATTCTTTACTGTGAGTGTGACAGGGCAATGGAACAGGTTGCCCAGAGAGGTTGTACAGTCTCCTCTGGAGATATTCAAAACCAGCCTGGATGCCATCCTGTGCAATGTGCTCTAGGTGATCCTGCTCTGTATGGTGTTTGGACTGGATGATCTTCAGAGGTCCCTTCCTACCTTGGCCATTCTGTGATTCTGTAATTCTGTGAAATCCCTTTTCAGTTGAAATTTTGGATTTAGAACCTTCCAGTTTTGCTCAAGTCTCTTTGTCGTTGTTCCCCTAACCTTTCATCCTTTCTTTCCCCTCTCCTTGCTCCCTGTGAGCTAAGGGAGCTCCCTCAGGTACTGTGGTTTCTGCTCTCCCCTCATTATCACTCCTCATAGGACTACAGGGCCCCATGGCAGCTGTTCAAGGAGTACCAAACTGCTCTGCCAATCTGCCACACAGCTGCAGGACCAGATATTAGGAGAGAGGCTCACAAGGAAAACCCAAAGGTGTGCACGGGGAACTGGTAGATAAGATGGATGGTCCACTGTTCACTGCCAGGACTGCAACCTGCGGTGTGCATGGAGCATCACCCACTCTCAGGCCTCCACACAGGGGAGAAAACATCACTGCAAGGGATCCACTCTCCCTACAAAGTCTTGTTGATCAAAAGAGACATTACAGATACCAAAGTCATGGCATGTCCTTGGGATCTTGAAAAACCTCCTGCACAAGCCCTGGTATTCCAGTCAGAAGACAACAGCTTAAGGTGTGGCTTTCTGTATAGCACAGGTTAATTTTACCTTTGTTTCCAGCATTTTCTCTCCCATAAGCAATTCTGTTAATCTGAAGGATATATTCATCTTCAGTCACCATGTCATACTCCTCACTGGGGTATCTCCAGAAGGAGACCATTTCACTCTGTAAGTGAAAAAAGCAAAGTATAGTGTGCTCGCCATCAATGTAATCCATAAGTAAAAAGTTTAAAAGTTTTAAAAAAAGTTAAATTAGTATTTAACTACTGATAATTTATATGACTGTTCCCACACAACTACTGCCTCTGTTCCATCTCTGTCATACTTACACACAAAATGTTCATACGTGCTTCTGGATTCTTAGAAAATAGGAACAAAGAGCTGCTGCCCTGATAGCATCCCATGGACCAAGGACATCAGAGCTAGAGCCAGCCACATCCTCAGTTTGCCTAGAACAACACATTTACTGTGTCACTACTGTCAGAAGCAAGGGAGCCTCATAACACACCTGCACTAACAGCTTTGATTTCATACCACCTAGATGCTCTCTTGATAGTCAGAGAGAAACACTGCTCACTGATTAAAGCTCAGGAGACACCAACACACACACACAAACACACACAGACAAATACACACGTGGTAAAGTACTACCTGTGTTTTAATTGTAAGCCATCAACAGGTGACTCACAGCAGTGAAAGGAGAGATGTGGGCAGGAAAATACCTCAAGGAGGGACTCAAACTTATTATGGAGGTTTAGATGGTCTTAAAGCATTATTGTGTGTGCAGTGGCTCAGGAAACACATGCTAATTGGGATATGCTCAGGAAGGTGGAATGGGATTTCAGGAGTTCTAGTAAGGGGCAAGGGAACAATCCTTGTAGTCTCTACAGACCAGTGGAAATTGCAAGTGTGTTAAAAGACATCACATGCCTGACCTTTCTCCTGTTATTTTTGATTAAAGTATCTCTTCCGCTCAATAGAGACCGGAAGATATCTTTAGGCCCCAGCTTATCATGCAGAGACTCTGACCTGGTGGGGATCAAGGGACATTTGGCTCTTTCTACACAAATTTCAGGAACGCAACACAAGACATATCAAATATATACTTGCTAAGTGTTTAGCCATGGCTTTAAAAATGAGCCACTACAGTATCCTGGGTTCCGAAATACTGGGTTGGACAGGGAACCACCAGGGTGCCTTCAGTCTAAGTTCTTCTGTTATTGTGTGAGTGAATTTCTGATTTTGATCAGTGTCCAGCAGCGAGTATAACCCAGCTTGGTGCCAGGATGATACAGTTATGATATAGCCACTACAACATCTGATGAAAGACTGTCTCCCTTATGCAATTAAAATGTATTTTAGGTTGTTTCCCAGTTCTCAGACCCTGAGCCAGACCTTCTTTTATAAGCACACAAAGGATGTGTCATAACTGTTATGACAAATAAACCCCTAGTGCAAGTAGAAGTGCAAGCCACTTCTACTTATCTCTTCCCAACTGCATTGCAGGAAATGGTATAACTGAGGTGCTGCTCTGACATGGAGAGCTTTGTAACACTGCAATACTGTTTGCATCACCTATTAAATCAACTGTCCAGGTCTATCCAGGAGGCAAAGTAAGGACAGCAGGTTGATTTTGATAATCTTTTAAGAGCCAACATCATATTCACTCCCTAAACAGAAATAAAATCATGAAAAGAAAGCCTCTAGTCACTTGCTCTTCTCCTTGATTATAGTGAAAAATGACAACATTAATTACATTTCATTTAGAAAAGGACACTTGTAAGTGCCAATCAGTATGCGAATTGCATCGCTTTACTTGGGATCAACATATCTTCCAGAGGATCTAGGAGTCACTCAATAATACTGGTAGGAGACTGGTTGAAAACATTTTAAAAATACTTTGTGAACTAGAAATTTAACCTTCCACAAGAAGTGGTGAAAGCAAGTGGGAACTTCTGGGTCAAAAAGGATTTATGGACAATAGGTCTGTAAACAGACACTGAAAGGGCTGGACAGAGTTGTTCCCTCCAACAGCTTTAGACGCTAGGCGACATCAAGGTGACGGACTACAGAAAATGGCCAGGCCCATGTGCTTCCCCTGGGTAGTCTCTTGTTTCACCTGAACCAGGCAGAGAAAGCTGGGGTAGACCAATCTCTGAGTTGACTGAGAAGACCAGGCTTCACTCCCCTCTCCTTGGCCAAACACAGACAGTTGGGTTGCAGCCATTTTCCTTCAGCCAGAGTCATAAGCACTGTTCACATACACATGCATGCTTAGATAGAAGCCCAGCTGCACAAGTATTTTTTCCAGACCCACCTCTAGAAAAGTGAAGGCTACCAGCCTGGCCAAAGGGTCACACAGCTCCTGTGAAAGGAGACAGTGAGATGTCAGTCCCTCTGATGGACAGGCAGTACACAAAAGCAATGCTGGGCATGCTGAGTCGGCAGAGGATGGAGATGTGGCACATAGCAGCAGCTGGGGACCAATCCCCACTCCACGCTGGTGTGCTGCACAGTACTCGTCACCTCTCTTAAGACAACCCTATTTGAACCATCTCAAGGGTGGGGGTAGCAAGAACAGAGAAGAGTAAATGTAAACACATTGAGATGTTAAACATTAATGATTAGGCAATACCATAATTTAGAAAGTATGGTTGCCCAGAATTTGTTTATGCTGGCCTACTAAATATTGTTTAGGCAGCAAATAATTATGTAAATTTAAAGGTGATTTCCATCAATGTGATTTAATTGATAAGCCTGAAGAAAGTTCCCAGCTTCACATTTCAATGACCATTTTACATATTTATTACAAGAGAAATTATTAAGTTCTTGCAAGGGACAATCAGCATCTGAAATGGCTTTCTGATAGCAGATACCGTATTTAAGAAACAACGATATGCCAGACAGAGCTCTACAATCCTCTGTTTTACAACAGTATGGACAGAGCTGGTAAATGTGAATTTAAGATTAAATCCCAGGCAACCATTTAAAAAGTTCTGTAGATGCATTGGCTGGGGCAGCATTAACTTTCTTTGTAGAGCAGAGATGGGACAAAGCTAGGGCAGCTGCTGGCGAAAATGATACTCCGTGCCATATAATGTCATGCTCAGCAATAAAAAATGGGGAGGGGCGGCTGTTCCCCAAGGCAGCCATTGCTCAGAGACTGAGCATTGTTCTGCTCAGAGGAAGTGGTGCGTGATTGTCTTTACATCACTTCTTTTTATTCTCTTTCTGTCATTTTGCCTTTTCTGTTTTCTCCACCTTTTCCACTCTGGGGACAGAGGGAGTGGAGTGGCTGAACAGCTGTGTGGTGCTTAGCTGTTGGCCAGGGCTGACCCACTGCAACATCCTTGTTCTTCACACATGTATGGGAAAGCACAAAGAGCATCTAAGCTCTATCGTATGTACACACAGTAGGCAGATGCATCTCTTCACATGTATCCTTCCCCATCATCCCTGTCAGGGCTGTGGCTGTCTTCTGCCCTACATTCATGGATTGATTTGCTTTGAAATCACAGTGCAGGATCAATGGGGAAAGATGGGTCCTGACTGTCAAACTGGAGCGGACCTGGTATGTGTCCAAGGCACGTTACAAGATGTGGCAATGGGTCTGCTCTTTAAACATAGCCATAGTAAAAAAAAAATAAAAAATGCTTATCATTTAGAGACTTGGAGGTTGCTTCTTGCATCTTACTTTTACAGTACAGAAGCCACACTTCCATGAGTAAGACACCTTCTGAGGAAACTGATCGTGGAAGTCTGTATTCTGGGGCAATGGCAGGGCAATTCTGGTTGGGCTCATCTAGAGGCACTGTCCTCCCTGAAGGATGTAAGGCTAAGGTTTCATTCATAGCCAAGTGTCCCACAACACCTGAAAAGTGAGAACATTATCACAAGTCTTGCAAGACACTTAGGCCTCTCAAATCTCATATACAGCTCTTGCTAAACATCAAGGAGAGGCCCTTGAGAATGATCACATAATCATGGCGTCAAAGAAATGTTGGTGGGAATGGATCTCCAGAGATCTTTATCCAGTGTCCCACTAGAACCAAGACTATCCCCAGTACTGGATCAGAGTGGCCCTGACTTTGAGCAGTTAAGTTTTGGAAACTCCGCAGGGTGGAGATCCCCCAGCTCTGTGGTGACTGTCCTGGGGCTGCTCCTCACTCTCAAGAAGCATTTCTACAGGTCTACCGTCAACATCCAAAGGCACAACATTGTTGTCCCTTACCACATTATGTGCTGCACCAGAGAGGCTTTTGTCTCTAACACTTTTTGCACTCTGAGATGTCACAGGCTGCTTGCAGACCCCTCTCAGCCCGCCTGTGGCCAGACCCGATAAACTCAGCTCTGTCCACCTCTTGTAGAGATGCTGCAACTTTACCAGCCTGTATTGGGCCTCACCAGTGTCTCACAACCGTTTTGCACTGGGGAGAGCAGGACTGGACCTGGCATCCAGGTGTGACCTCCCTTGTGCCAGAGATAACTGACTGAGATCAGGTGGCCATGTTTCCACTCCTGCAGCCTCTGTCTTTGCAGCACACTGTTGGCTCATACACAGTTTGATATCCACCACCTCTCCCAGGTCCTTTTCAGAAAGGCTATTATGCCACAGCTCCTAGTGAGTGTGTTATCATGCCCCTCATCCAGGGCTTTCTGTCACCCACACATACTTAAGTTAGGTGTTTGGTCCTGAAACAGAAAGATGTCACACATCCAAGAGTCCTCACCCACTTCATGGAGCTTTTTCTTGCAACACATTTACTCTATCTGCTAACAGTCCATAATGGTCACCAAGTGAGCACAGAGTGTTCTATACTATTCTTGTTTAGGTGCTTTTACCACCTATTGCACTCAAGTTTAATAATCTTTTTCCATAAAATCAGTGTCAAAGGTTCTGTCTCGATCCTTAATATTTCTGTTTTGGTTATCTTAATACTCTTCTCTTGTCAATACCTTCTTATTTGCCTCCACCAGGACACAGTTTACCAAGAAAATGCACCAAGAAACTCTACCGATGTAGACTTTCTTTATCAAGAAACTCTACTTAACTTTCTCACAAATTAAGCTGCCAGTGAGAATCCAGATAAACCTTCAGTAAAATAAACCATTCCTAAGCAAACTTAATGTATTTGGTCATTTGGTCTTACACAAAACATTTATGAAGTTTGAGAAATCTCGTTTTACTAAATAAACAAGCAACAAACCACTGCTCAGCCCAGAGATATAATTGCATGATCCATCAGATTATTTTAGAGGAAAGCAGCTACAACCAATTTCCAATCAGGACCTCATGCCTCTGGGCAAGGCTGAATGCAAAGCTCGGGAGCACCCTGGGCCCAAGGACCACAGGGGACTACAGCTTTGCCACAGCTATGTCCTAAGTACCAAAAAGAAAGGCACAGCTGTGAAGTGCTTCCTGAGCTATCTGGTTTTACATCAATCTGTTGCAAGATGTGTGCTGAAGCATCAGGTTATAGTGTCTCCCATGTTCCCATGATCCTATCTGCAGTTCTCTGGCACTTCTACTCTCACCTATGCAGCTCAGTAAGGACAGTAATCCAACCATTTCACAGTCACACACTCTCCAGGCTGGCAGGACAGGAATGTGTTTTCCTGAATGGTGGCCACAAGGCAAACTGTTGGCAGTGTGTTAAAGGTGGAAGGGGCAGTTCTACAAAGACAACAGGTGAGGTGAAGTTCCTTCAGCTTCTGACTGTGGGCTCCAAGAAGCCGCAGCAGCAAGCTCATAAATTCAGAACATGCTGGTTGTCGCCTACTGGTATCCACTAGTGTGCTATGACCATCATCAAGAAAACTTCATCCTTCTCCAGGTGCCAACCTGCCACCGCCCCTCAGCATTATCTACTCCACTCTCAATACATTGGGATCCCTCTTTCCTAACACTAAGCCATAGCTTCTTGCCAAAATCAAGCTAGTGCCAGGTATGGTTACAGGAAAATTCTAGGTGCTGGCGATGGCCCATCAGCACTTTCTGGAAGCTGTCACACCCTCAAGTCGTTCTGGCTGGGCAGCACCTTCAGGTGGGCAGGTTTTGATTACTTTAGAAGCTGATCATCAGGGTGGATCAAGCCCCGAGCATTCCTGGATAACCGGTGCAGGGATGGCTTAGCATGCACCGTATCCTTCATGATACAGTGCCGCGGTCCACTTCCCAGGCTGAATGCTGTGGGACAGTTTCCCATGACAGGTCAAGCTCGGTGGATGAGTTCTAGCACACATCCCACCCATGCTCCTAACTGCAGCGTACTGCCTCCCCTGGCTCAAACGCCACTCTTGATCAACTACGCTAAACCTAAGGGCTCGAAAACAGGACATCGAGGTGCTTGAGTGGGTCCAAAGAAGGGCGACGAAGCTGGTGAGGGGCCTGGAGAACAAGTCCTACGAGGAGCGGCTGAGGGAGCTGGGCTTGTTCAGCCTGGAGAAGAGGAGGCTCAGGGGCGACCTTATTGCTCTTTACAGATATCTTAAAGGAGGCTGTAGCGAGGTGGGGGTTGGCCTGTTCTCCCACGTGCCTGGTGACAGGACGAGGGGGAATGGGCTAAAGTTGCGCCAGGGGAGTTTTAGGTTAGATGTTAGGAAGAACTTCTTTACTGAAAGGGTTGTTAGGCACTGGAACAGGCTGCCCAGGGAGGTGGTGGAGTCACCATCCCTGGAAGTATTCAAAAGACATTTAGATGTAGAGCTTAGGGATATGGTTTAGTGGGGACTGTTAGTGTTAGGTTAGAGGTTGGACTCGATGATCTTGAGGTCTCTTCCAACCTAGAAATTCTGTGATTCTGTGATTCTGTGTGATTCTGTGATTCTGTGATTCTGTGAAACAAAACCCAAGGCCGCCTTGACAACCCAGGCGCGAGGTTATGGGCCCAGGGGCGGGGCCGCAGCCGGCACGGGGCGGTGCCTCCCGGCGGGGCGGAGCGGGGCGGAGCGGGGCGGAGCGGGGCGGAGCGGGGCGGAGCGGGGCGGAGCGGGGCGGAGCGGGGCGGAGCGGGGCGGAGCGGGGCGGAGCGGGGCGGAGCGGGGCGGAGCGGGGCGGAGCGGGGCGGGCGATGGCGCGGGTGCTGGTGCTGGGCGCGGGGCTGACGGGCGGCGCCTGCGCGGCGCTGCTGCGGGGGGCGGTGCGGGGTCGCGTCGCCGTGTGGGACAAGGCGCGCGGCGCAGGTGGGCCCGGCGGGACGGGGCTGGGGGCGGCCGGGCGGGGCGGGGCGGGGCGGGGAGGGGCGGATCTGATCTGATCTGATCTGATCTGATCTGAGTGTTGCTTGCAGGGGGCCGCATGAGCACGAGCCGCAGCGAGCGGGACGCCGCCTGCAGCGCCGACCTGGGAGCGCAGTACATCAGCCCGCGGGCGGGGCGCGGCAGGTGAGCGGCTCCCCCGGCCTTTGCCTTCGCCCCCCGCCCCCCCTCTCCGCCCTGTGGCCGGTCGGGGGCTTTGCTGCGTCGTGTCCGGCCGTGCCCAGTCTGACTGAAGAGCAGGGAGACTACGGAACAGTTTTTTATTGATTCGGCAGTCGGGCTTCTCGTCTTTAATTGGAGAAAGTATTGACAGCTGGCGTTGGTTTTCATGCAGTGTTTTCATCGCTGTCACTTGCTCTTTTTAAGCTTCTTCGATGAGCTTCTGTCTCACGGCATCTTGAAACCACTGACTGCACCCATTGAAGGAATGGTAGAGAAGGAAGACTCTTGCAATTACATGGCGCCTCAGGGCATCTCCTCCGTTGTCAAGTATTATTTAAAGCAGTCAGGTAATTTTTAGATGCCTTTGTTTGCAATTAAGGTTTTTAATTCTGATGTTTTTGATGGCATTCTTGAATGTTCTAGTCGGAGATTTAAATTTGAAAAATTGCTCAAGTTCCTTATTTGTTTATATATGTCTTGAAGTTACTTAAGTAGTTAAACATATCTGAGAGCTTCAGAAATTTCCAAGTCCTGCAGGTGCTTCACTGACTTCAGCTGCGCTGCAGGCGTATGAAAAATGTCTACAGATGTAAGGACTGTAGGACCAGTAGCCAAGATTATGGTTATCCTGTTTGGTTAGCAAGTCCTACGCAGTTAGGACAGAACTAATGTAGTGGGAGTAAGATGACACTGTGTTTGCACAGATAATTGAGAAGATATTTAAGCTGCATACAACTTGAATAAAGTGAGTGCTGTTTTTTTTCCACGAGCAGCTGGGAGCACGGTGGTGAGTTACATCCTGTGTTTTGAAGAAATGAGAACTTAGTATGTAAACCCTCCGTGTTGAAATCTCTTCAGAAAAGACTTGAAGAGAAGAATACCTGCTAGTTTTAACTGTAACTACTACAGTAGGTGGAATGTGGCAGAACCATGTTATACTGCTTAGTGAACTGATCTAACTCTGGTTTGAAGAATGTTAGTTTTATGAACAGTCAAGCTTTGCACGTCTTATGGGACTTCTTTCTTTTAACTAGCTGTTTTTTTGAGTCCCTAATCTTTCACATAATTGTGCTACTGTCTTCCTATATGTGAGATACGCGAAGGGGGACAGTTCTGTCTTTCAGCTCCTGGATGTATGCTTTGGACCCTTACCCTGTGCCACATCCTGTGCTCCTCCGATTTCACGCTGAGGTGGTTCAGCTCACTAAAGCCACAAGAAGTGAACCTGTCCGAGAGCAGCTGATAGTTTTCCACCTGTTCATTGAGCTGAATCATGTCAGTAAGGAGTCAGATGAATGCCAGCCCTAGTACAAGAGAGTTAAAAGAACTTTTCAACCAGTAAGGATCTCTTCTTTAAATGTCCTATGGTGGCTGTTAAATTCAGCAACCTAATTTGTGAAACTTTGCCCGAAGATCATCTGTGTGCTTTGCTGTTTAAAAGCTATCCACTTACTAAGGGAAACTACTGTGTATTTCTCCATGGAATCCAGTTACAAGTATTTAACTCTTCTTTTTTGAACCAGGTGCAGATGTCTTCTATGAATACCACGTAACTCACATCTCTCTTCGAGATGGGAAATGGGAAGTCTCCAGGAAAACGGGACCACCAGAACTCTTTGATGTAGTTATTCTCACAATTCCGGTTCCACAAATTCTTCAGCTACAAGGTGACATTGTAAACAGTAAGTTTGTACCTCAGAACTGCAGGTATTGAGCCTGAAATGGTGATTGAGCTTCACGTATAGTAAAAAAAAAAAAAAGCCCTCAACAGTCTGAGCTGCCTTTTAATTTCTGCTAGAGTATGATGAATCTCAAACTGATAGGAGATGGGTAGTTGCGGGGCTATATGTGTAGTGCATGAGCAGTAATACTAGATGGAAAATCTGAGATTTAATTTGGGGGGGGCTTCCAAAACAGGATAGGCTTTCTGTAACTTGAAAATAGTTACCAAAATGGACAAGATCCTCAGCTAGTCTGGACCTGGTTGTTTCCTTGTTGCTACCTCTTTGTGGAAGTCTGATTTTTTGTTTTTTTTTTTTTTTTCATTGCTGCCCTTGGTATGTTTGCACTTGGGATGACCCAGGGAGTAAGACTTGAATAACGTATGTGCTGCAGGGAAAATCCTTGGGGCATTCAGTGGGACTAAAATCATATGGAATCGTATGGCCTTCAGGGGACAAAAAAGCAGGGAGCAGGGCTCTTTGATCTGTAGTCTAGAAGATGAAAGCATCTCAGACCCTCTGGCTTGTTTGCTGTTTCTGGCTGTCCCCTTGGGGGTTGTATTTCCCAAACATGATTAAGTCTCAGTTAAACTTTGCTTAATTGGGGTAAATGTGTTTAACAGTGCCATGGAGGCTTAGGAGGAGCAGCTCTGTGCTGAGAGAGGAATGTAAGCTCCAGTCTGAACAGCTTTCCTCGCTTAGGTGTGTTATCTCGGCCTGTGGCTTGCAGCGCCAGCTTTTCTCTGAAATTTAGCTGGTGAGCCCTGCTCGGTGCCTGTCCACAGCATACTCCCTGCAGCATGAGGTGCCGCCTTGCAAGGGAGCAGATCTGATGCAGTTACCATGGACCTGATCCACATTAAGGAGCCCTTGCAGAAGGGCCTCATGAGGATTTCCAGGAGAGGAAATCCTCGTTTCTCAATGCAGCTCTTACGGTTGATGCTGAGCAGAGGCCAGGAAGCCTAGCCAGGCCTGTGCTGGCTTTGGAAAGCCATGTGAAGTGCACTGGGCTGTGGATTTATCACCTCAGCTGCAGTGTTGTACCAAGAACATGCTGCATCTGGCTCATAAACTCTCACTGAATGGAGTGTGTTGGCATCAATGCTGCCACATGACTGTTCTGAGTCAGTTCTGGTCTGACAGGGCTTGTTGCCTCTTTGCTGCCAGATCCCAAAGTAGACGCTTTAAAATGCATGGGTTTTCCACTCTCTGGTTTGTAGCAGCTCTACCAGCACTCTAAAGATGAAGAACTGATCTTGGCTCCTTGTGTTGTGCTGTATCTTGGATTTTAATGCGTTTAAATACACGTGTGCTTCAAAGGTGTTTGCCATCATGGCTAACTCTCAAGCTACTCCAGTTCAATTTGGTCAGCTCACATGTGTCAGGGCTTCAAGCACCTCAGCAGTCCAGACTCTACAAATGTATTGGGACAGGCCTAAGAAGATAGCAGTTTGCTTGGTGGTGCGACTAAAAGGGCAAATACTGCACTGTGGTGGCTCTGTCCAGCGTCCCTTCCAACAGGGATTGATAGTGAATGTCCTGGGAAGAGAAAAGAGTAAGTGGTAGTACTGTCTGATAATATAAGGTAAAAATGTATTGTTTCATGAAAATCATGTACTTGGTACCCTACTTGCTCAATGTCACTCTGAGAGCAGTGTCTAGAGGAACGTGCTTGGGTATTGACTGCATTCTTCACTTTGTTAAAGCAGCAAGTGATAATGTGGGAATAGATAGACTGATTTAGTGGAGTTAGGCGTAGATTCCTTGGCATCTTGAAAATAATTTCCAATTTACATGGCCATGTAAAAGATGAGTATTCTGGAATAAACTGGATTTAATACACATTTAATTACCATGCGGTTTCAGTGGATGGGGACTGAGTGATGATTAAGTATCTGTGGCATATGTACATCATATGACTTTATGGGCACTCTGAGGCTCTTACATTGGTTGAGAATGCTTTGAAACATTTTGAAATAATGGTAATATAAAGAAAGGAAAAAAAAGATAAAATTTACCAGAAACCACTGAAAGCAGAAAACCTTCAAGTATGTACCAACTGTGCATTTCTGCCCCCTTTTGAAAACATTGTTAGGGCAATTTGTTTTGAAAATTGAATCCTTCCATGTCCAAAAAGAAGGCAAGTCCCCTTCAGAAGATGTAGTTAAGGTGAATGGTTCATTTCACCTGCTCTGGTGCTGGAACTGTCAGATGTTGTGAAAAGCATCTTTGTCTTCTGTATAACTGCAGGATTAACTTCTACCCACGGGAACCCAGCAAGTCTTGTCTTCTCCTTCCTTTCTCCCCAGTTCTTTTTCTCTCTCTGTCTTTACTCTGTGTGGGACTAGTTTCTTTGCCAAATAGAGATTCCCAACCGTTAATTTTTCATCTCAAGCAACAGGACTGACTCCCCATACTCTGGAGTTCCCCGGCATTAGATCTCTTGGCTTCTGTGCTACTATTTCTATAGGCTAAGAAGCGAGGGGAAAATAATCAGGAGAATATAAGGGAGATGTTCCAGTGCCTGAACAAGGTCTAGGTATTGGATCCTTCTTGACTTCCAAGGAGTCAGGGTGCATTACTGTATCTCCAGATCTCAGTCTTATATTGACTGGATGTCAAAGAGCTGAGTTTTGCTGACAGAGAATTAGGGTTTCCTGGGTCTGTCTCACTTGAGAGTTAACATGCAGTTTCGTGGTGAGTTCAGACAGGTGTAACTGGACAGCTGCTGAAAGGAATAGTCCTTTCCTCTCTGTGCTGATGTTGTCCTGCTTTTGCTGCCTGTCAGCATTAGTGAGTGGGTGTCACACTGCAAGTCAGATCTGCTCCCTGTTCTGACCCTGAGCTGACTGTGACAGTGTAAAATGTATTTTTTTTCACTCGGCTTTATGAGCTGATCTGACTTGATGAGTGTCTGCCTGCTTGCTAGTTTTGTTAGCCTGCACATCTTCTGGACCTGCCTCCTTTTAAGGAGAGGAGGACAGTCCCTTGTGTGCTCTGACTTTCCAAGTGCAAAGAAAAAATATTGCGCTTCTAACGAGAAACATATTTGTACATTTGCAATGTATGAACTGGCAATTGCAATTCCTCCTGGAAGGGGAGGTTTCTGCTTCTCATTGCAGACTTCCCCCTTGCTGTCACTCAGGGTGGGAGGAATCACTTCACTTCTCACTGTGCTCTGCCACAGCTGAAGCAGGAGGTGCCTCAGATACATCCAACCGGAGGAAGGGGCTGACTTTCTGCTTCTAGCAGCAGCCTGTGAGGTCTGCTCAGATGGAAGTGCAACTGGCCTGAGACTGCAGGCAATGGGATTAAAGTGAAGGGGGGATTTAGGAGTAACTCTACCTTAACTGTTGATCCTGAGGTCTTTATAATATAGAAGACAGACACAGAGGCTAAATTAAAGACATAGACTGGCAAACTTGTGGTGATGTTAACTCTGCCACTGTTCTGGTTGTGATGAGCAGCGTCAACAGAGAGCGCTTTGGCCATTTCCCAAGCAGTGATTGTAGGCCGTGTTACAACCAGCCTTCACTACATACTCTGCTTTGCCTTGGTGTTGCTATCCCTGTTTTGACAATTTCTTAATTAGTGGCAGCTACTTTAAAGATCTTCAATATCCTTGACTGTTCTCCTCCACCACTTCCTCGGTGAGGTTGCCATTAGGGAAGTCTTTTCACATCAGTTTTGCTACATGCTGGAGACTCAAGTGCTCCCCTTGGACCCGTATTTTGATTGATGAGTTGTTAGCATTAATGTAAAGATAAAGGCTGTAAAATAAGTGATGGTGCATGGGAACAGCTGTGTGGAATAGGTGAGGCTTTGATCCAGTAGCAAGCACTGGAATTAACCTTTGATACACCCTTGTTTAAGAACCCAAGTTGGAGTGTTCAAATGGCTAATCAGAAGTGGAAAGTCGCCGCAACAGAAATTCACCCTTTTGTTGCGGAAGTCTGGAGCTTAACTCTCATACTAGTACTCTCCCCAGCTTGAGAACACTTAACTGTTTCTATATTGTATTTTTAAACAGTGGTCCCATAAATGCTTGCCTTAAATATGTAGTATGTTTCTTTAGCAACAGAATAGTTTGGGCACCTATGGCAATGCTTTCAAAGATGTGTCCTGAAAATTAGGCCCCTGTATTTGTAGGTAAGTGCTTCAACAAAAGCATCCTACAGGTGCACATTGTGGGTTCCTCTCCCTGGCAGAGCTGCTGTGCATGACTGTGCTGAACAGCTGTGACCTGGCAATCAGCTTAATCTTAACGTAGGTGCCTTTAGGTCTAGTGACTGATCTGGGCTTAGACTGGCAAATGTTTATTGCCTTGGTTATTATTTTAGACATCTTTAGTATTCTGTTGCAGAATACAAATGGGATCAGGTTTATAAATTTGAAACAGCAAAATTTTACCTGTAGTGAGATGACTTACTAGTTCTTGCATTTGCGTTCTGGCTTCAGAAATGAAGGCGAGCAATAGGGAAAACCACACCTTCTTCAGGGAGGCATTCTTCCCCATCCCATTCTTTCCCCTTCTAAAAATCACTTTCATGTGATATTCAGAGAACTAAGATTTTGAAATGGCAGGAGAGGCATACTTCCCATCCCCAATTTTATGTTCAGTGGCAAAGTTTCCATTTTAATACTTAAAGCTCTGCAGACAGAATCTTTTGTTAGGCTGGTATATTAGTTTGGGTCTTTTCCCTGTTTTTTAACCTCTTTGAGACTGAACATTGTCAATGTGGTGTCCATCCACAAGAAGGGCCAGAAGGTAGACCCGGGGAACTATAGACCTGTCAGTTTGACCTCAGTGCCAGGGAACCTCATGGAGCAGATTATCTTGAGTGTCATCACGTGGCATTTGCAGGGCAACCAGGTGATCAGGCCCAGTCAGCATGGGTTTATGAAAGGCAGGTCCTGCTTGACGAACCTGATCTCCTTCTATGACAAAGCGACGCGCTGGG